TGTCTGTGCTGGGACCTCTCCCAGCTGCTGGACAGAGTGGCATGGGTTTGTCTCTGGCTGTGGTTGTCAGACTGTCCCAGTGGTATGAAGCCTGCTGCTTTATTGGGCAGGCTAAACTGCTGAGGCAGGGCTTCTGCTGGTGCTTCGAGCTCTGCCAAAGCCAAATGGAATTACACAACAGATTTAACCCTTAGTCGTATGTAGTGTTCTCTTAAGAGGAACTGAGTCTGTGGGAATCTACTGGTTTGTTTGTTTGTTTGTTTGTTTGTTTTTTTGAAAAAACAGACAGTTGTAATATAAGGTTAAGCCACAGTACAAGTTTTATAAATTGAGGATCATGTGTTAAAATGATACTTCTGATTTTGACTTCTTAATAAAATCTTGTGTTCAGGGTTTCCTTCAGGTTTTTCTCTTCCCAGGTCTTAAGTTCAGGTCTTTGCTCCAGCAGATGAAGCACTCTGCTCTGCCCCACAGTGGTCAAAGCAGGTTACTGCTTCTCAGGGGATCAGCTGTATGGTTATGTTAAACTGGAGAGTATAGGCATGCATTCTCACCACAGCACCGTACATTTAATTGGAGTGTGTGGATCAAGGGAAATAAAAGAAGGCACATTTTCACACTCTCGTGGGTATAATATTAAAAGATTTAAACATTTGGATTGCTTCATACAGTAAAAAGGACACAAAATAAATGCCATCAACAAAGTGTTATTTTCCTTTATCTCTCAGGACATATTACTGCACATTACAATAGCACATTGTAATTGTCTTATGCAATCATAAAAAGACTCTTCATTTTGAATCACTCAGGCCCAGGGTACATTTCAGAAGTCAGAACAAGATGTCATTATATTACATTATATTATGGTTGTAAAATAAAATCAGCCTCTTGCATGAACCTTTTTATCTTTTCCTTTTGGTTTATTTCTAACTTTTACAAAGAGGTTTAAAATACACCGTGATGAGAAATTATTAATCGATTATTATCTGATTCAGCCCATGTCACGCTACTGTTTCACAGCAACCAAACAATTTTTACAAACATTCAGCTATAAAAATAGACTACTGTATGATATTAATTCTTAAAAACAGCAACAGCCACATCACCATTTTTTCACTTCATACATGGCTGAATTAAAAAACTATGCTTCTGAATCTCAAAATCTCCAATTTGTGTTTAAAGGTAAAGCAGGCTCGTCAGTAGCAAAAGTTTTTCCAAACAACTTTTGATATACCGTATGATATATAATAAAATGCAGTTAGGTTGAACAGGCAGTGCTAATGACACTGTTTACACAAGAAGCATAGCTTAGCTTCTCACATTCAAAGTCAAATGGAATGGTGAACTCTGTAAAACAAGTAAATCAACAGCGAATCTCCAAAAGCAGAAACAATATAACAGTTTGCTATAGAGACTTATTAAAACTAGAAACCAAAAACATTCTGAGACTATTTTCACTTGAAAAAGTCATTTGCAACCACTTAAAATCATGTATATTATGATCCATTCACTCTTTACTTTATTAAATATTTAATATCAGTCTTTACTCTCACCAATCAGACACCTCCATAAAGTCCTCCAGTTCACTCATAGCTATTATATCACGAGGATTATATTGCGAGTGGGCTGAGTTATCATTTTCACAAACTGAGCTTCCTGCAAGCTGGCTGTTTGTGTCACACTCTGGGAACGACTCATATGAGCCATGTGTGCTGTAAATTGTGTTATATGTTTTGTCTTTGTCATTAACCGTGTCCATGTACGGGGTCTTCTCTGGACTGTAGCGATGCCCTTCAGAGTTTTGTCCCAGTTCAAAAGCCTGATGTCCAGGCTGCTGGTTCTGGTGGAGAGTTGCAGGAACCTGCGACTTGTTGGGATGCAGGGAATTGATACTTGCAGGCTGGTAGTGTTGGGGATAACCGTGGTACCCTTGATAAAGCACAAAGGGTTTGCCAGCAGGAAAAGTCTGGGAGAAGGGCTGTTGCTGGGACTTGATCTGCATCTCAGGCTGTGGGCATGTTTGCTGGGGTTGAGGTTGTGAGATGCTCTTGCCAGACTCGCGCACATTCAGTTGGATATACTTTCCTGTCTGTGGGTCAAAGAAAGTCTTCTTTTTCACTTGAACAGGCAGGTCCACTACAAAATACTGACCAGAACCGGGGTCTTGCAGCACCTTGCGCTGGGTCAGAGGGTAGGCCTGGGGATAGCTTGACTCTACATGATACTGTGTCACTGGAGCTGGGTGGTGGGCTTGGTGGAAAGTGGGAGAAGAGGGAACATGAGCAACAGTCTTAGGAGCAGCAGTATGGGAAGCAGGGCCAGTAGCATAATGAGACACACCAGGGAGGGAAACGGCGGCAGTATGAGGGATAGAAATAGGACCAGTGGCATGAGGGGAAGCGTGGAAAGAGTGGTGTTCTGTATGGGTGGAAGGCAAGCTGGACCCTGACACAGGAGCATTAGCAAGGGAGACAGGTGAGGAAATATGAGGGGAAGCCATAGCATGGCGATTAGAGGATCGTACCTCAGTGGATGAAGAGGAACGAATAGTGGAGACATCTTTCTCAACTCCAGAAAGGCTGTCTGCGCCAACTTTGGACAACTCTTTCTTCATTCTCCGGGTAGTTAGCCTTTGAGCCCTCCGTAGGGCTTTCTCGCTCTTTGGGGGAACAGCTGGAGGCTTGCCCAAAGAACGGGACACATCACTGCTGAAGCTACATGCTGATTCTGGTCTCTCGTAGTCATAAAGACCTCGTATGTCTGCAAGGTCTGCTGCACTGGTGGCAAAACTTTCCACATCTTCAGACATATTGCTGATAAGAGAGCGTGAGTCATCTTCCTCCATAGCAATGCTTCTCCTGGAATAGGGCCTATAATGAGGGATAGGGGCTGAGTGATCCTGTGGTGAAGATGCTGACTGGAAAGTTGAAGATTCACTGACAGCAGTGAGTCTATTTAAACCTGTGTGATGCTGGACAGGAGTTCCAGCACTGTGTCTTATTTTCTCCTGTCCTTCCTCTCTTTTCTCTAATCCCCTGTCACTGGGTGAACCCACCCGGACATCGTCTCCAAAGCTCTTATAGAATCGTGGCTTAACCGATTTGGTGGAAGTGGAACCTCTGAAGGTGTTGTCCTTTACTCTGAACATTAAGGGCTTGACTCCTAGAGCAGGTGAGGAAGTGTTGGATCGGGGCAGAGATGGAGCTGGAGATGCAGGGGCATGGGGTCTATAAGATCTCGTGTGGGACCCGTGGGACTCAGTTGACTCATTTTCTGATAGATTGTTTCTTTGTTGGGAGGGTGAAGGGGAGCATAGTTGCCTTTCTCTTTGTTTTGTCTCTGATTCTGTTGAAGTAATGGCATAGTACTGGAGAGCATCCACCTGTGCTACTCTTTTTTCCTCTTTCCGATTATCTCTCACCTTCTCACTGTCAGCGGTTACCTTTTCTTCTTCCCTCTTGTTAGCCTTGATGTTATTCTCTCTTTGAGCTAGCATGCCTTCTTTTTCCACTCTCATCTCATTTTTCAGTGCTTCTTGGCTGTTTTCATGAAGTTTAGGTCTCTCGTTGGCTTGCTTTTCTTCCTTTATGATCTTTACTCTTTCTACAGCTCTCATTTCTTCCTCCCCTGTTTGAGTTCTCATCCATTCTTCCTTTTTCTGCCTTTGTCTCTTTTGCTCTTCCATTTGTATCTGTTCAATCCTTTCCTCTTCTGAAATATGCAAAACTTTATCTCCTTCTCTCGGTTTTCTTTTCTTGTCTGCCTCAGTATTGGCAAGTATCTTCTCCTCAATCTGTCGTTGTTCCTCAATCAAAGCTGCTTTCCTCTGTTGAATCTCCTGAACTGCTCTCCTTTGTTGCTCTCTTTGAGCTACTCTCATCTGTAGCTCTTCTTCTGCAGCTCTCTGTAGCTTTTCTTGTGTAGTTTTCCTCTGTTGCTCTTCTTGTGCAGCTCTTCTTTTCAGTTCTTCGGCAGCCCTTTGTTTTTCTTGTGCTACTCTCAGTTGCTCTTCATGCACAGCTCTTCTTTGTTGCTCGTCTTGTGCAGCTCTCCTTTGTTGCTCTTCTTGTACAGCTCTTCTCTGTTGCTCTTCTTGTGCAGCTCTCCTTTGTTGCTCTTCTTGTGCAGCTCTCCTTTGTTGCTCTTCTTGTGCAGCTCTTCTTTGTTGCTCTTTTTGTGCAGCTCTTCTCTGCTGCTCTTCTTGTGCAGCTCTCCTTTGTTGCTCTTCTTGTACAGCTCTTTTCTGTTGCTCGTCTTGTGCAGCTCTCCTTGTAAGGTCTTCAGCAACCCACTGTTTTTCTTCTTGTGCTATTCTTAGTTGCTCTTCTTGTACAGCTCTTCTCTGTTGCTCGTCTTGTGCAGCTCTCCTTTGTTGCTCTTCTTGTACAGCTCTTTTCTGTTGCTCGTCTTGTGCAGCTCTCCTTTGTTGCTCTTCTACTGCAGCTCTTTTCTGTTGCTTTTCTTGTGCAGCTTTCATTTGTTGCTCTTCTTGTGCAGCTCTTCTTGTAAGGTCTTCAGCAACCCACTGTTTTTCTTCTTGTGCTATTCTTAGTTGCTCTTCATGCACAGCTCTTCTCTGTTGCTCTTCTTGTGCAGCTCTCCTTTGTTGCTCTTCTTGTGCAGCTCTTCTCTTCAGTTCTTCTTCAACCCTCTGTTTTTCTTCTTGTGCTATTCTTTGATGCTCTTCA